TACACAGAGAAACCCTGTCTCAAAAAACAAACAAAAAATTTAAATAAATAAGTAAATAAAGATTTTAAATAATCTCATCTAATTATTTTCTTTTTCACACATTTATTTTATGTTTAATACTAATTGTGTTCTTATTCTCTGCATCTGATAGTGCCTTTTATTGCTTAGCTGCCTGTTTCTATTTGTTAAATAGTCCTTTAAATTTTCTAGGGCCAAGAAGACAAATTATAATTACATCAAAATATCGGTGATATTTTACCAATTCTTTAAGTGATTTGTTATCTGGTCATTTCAAAAGAGAAATTTTCTCTAAAATCTCTTGCATATTAGGATACTGTCCAGAGAGCTATATTTTTATTTTGTTTTTGTTTTTCAAGTAATGAATTTATTTTGAGAATTTTATTTGAGTACCGTATTTAAAATATTTCCTCTCTTCTCTTCCTTCCAATTTCTTCCACATTCCCCCACTCCTCAAATTAATAACCTCTTAATTATTATTATATAATATATATTATATTTAATTATGTATATTTTATGTATAATACATATATTATTATTTATATCCTGCTGATTTTAGTGTTACTAATGTTTGTATGTGTTTATTGCTGATTTCTGGGAATTGAATAACCTATTGGGGGTTGGTCTCTGGAGAAGACTGATGTTTCCTACCTTAGAAGCCACTAACAGCCTATATCTCTGAGAGCCATGTTTTTAAAGTCTACAAAGGGATGTATAAAAACTAGCCTGATATCAGTAGAAATTTATACATAATTGTATAATTCACAAAATCAACTATAATTGTATATGAGTATGCCTATCTACTCAGTGTTTAAAGTATATTAAAAATGATGAAATGAGGTTGGAGAAATGTCTCAACTGTTGAGAGCACTGACTTCTCTAGCAGAGGAACACAGTTCAGTTCTTTGCACCCATACAGGATCTCAGAATCACCTGTAATACCAATGCTAGAGTTTTTGCCCTCGTCTGGGTTCAGTGGGCATCAGATATGCAAGTGTTATGCATATAGACATATAGGCACCCATACATATATTATTTCAAGGATTTATTTTATGTTTATGCATGTATTGCCTACATGTATGTTATGTGCACTGCATGTGGGTCTAATGCCTCCAGAAGCCAGGACAAGTCTCTAGTTTTCTAGGAATTTGAATTATAAATGCTTATAATGTGAAATGTAGGTACTGGGAATAAAACCTTAGTCCTCAGAAAGAACAGCAAGCGCTCTTAACTAGGGAGCCATCTTTCCAGCCCCACATAATATTTTTTACTCTTAAAAATTGATGGAAATGCACTAGAAACTATTTTAAAAGGATTCACAGTTTAGATAGAGACCAGTAGATAGCAGAGGAAAGATTAGGGATAACATGCCAACACAATACATGGTTACCTACATTAGTTAGTTCACTATATCTACAACAACATACGGTGATGTGTACCTTCCTTCATTGTTCAGAAAATAGTACTAAATACAAAATAATAGTGTATTGTTCTGAAACAAACTCCATCACCACAAATTTTAACAGTTTTACTTTCTTGTGTATAGTTTTGTAATTAAAAGCAAAACAATGGAAAGATAATTATGCAATTCATGAATAAGAGTAACATATCAGAATAAGATGAGGAGGGGTGTGCCCTAAGTCATTGAGAAATGATAGGTGTCCCATAACAGTATCCTCTGAGTGTTACAATAAAATTTAATCACACAGAGATATCAATGCCCAGGTTCCGTTGAGACCATCCTATTCACCTAATGTCTCATTCACATAGAAGCGGCCCTAAGCAAGCACAAAGGGTTGTACAGCATGGAACAATTTGCAAACACCTGTACCCACTGCTGAATTAAGACTCCATTTACTATTTGCCTCATGCTGATAAACTGTGGTGCTTATTTTCTGAAACAAGCTTAGAGAATAAAAGGAAGCAAGGCAAAATGGAAAATTCAGGACTAGTATTTTTGGACTTTATTTTACACACACACACACACACATATATATATATGTGGTTAAGATATTATGATAAAGATTAAATATCTTTTACCTAGGAAATCACCTATACCTAACCTGATGTTAGATACGGAAACAGAAATAAAATAAACATAGAAAGAAAATGCTGATTTGTAAACGTGGAAGATGCCCTAATTACTGCCATTCATGAGAGTGACTAACAATGCATTTTTATTAGCACATGGCATATTGTCTCTTGTGTGTATTGCAGCATACCAGTTTACTTTCTGTATAACTCAGGGTAAATCATTTGCCCTCTCATGTCATCCGTTGTCTCAGGATGTCAGTAAGGATATTCACTGGAGAAACCCTAAGTTCTCTTCCAGTTTTAAGGTACTGTGATCTTATGACCATGCAGTAACTCAAGTCCCAGTTTGCAACTCTGACTCAACACTTGAAGGATTTCCTGTTTGAGACTGCGAACTTGATTTCAGGGTCTCCAAATCCTTTTGCTCATCATCTGTATCTACCACCCCCACTAATTCTTCAAGTTTCTTCTCCAAATATGTCTTCAATGTCCTTCGTATTACCTTCATTTTTCTCCGATGTGAGATACAAAAATGGAATCTAGAGCAGAGAAAGGACAATCCATACTTAATTGTAAGAAGCAATATTTGAAAAATAATTATATAGTTGGGATTTTTTTTGTTCCTGGATTGTTCTGTGTTCTCTTACATTCCATCTACTATTTGCATCAACTTCTGTCTAGTTCTTTCCCCATTTTCCATTAGAGAGGAAGGAGTTTGGACAATCTCTTTGGCAAAGGAATGCTTGGAGGGTGGAAAACTCACAGTAACACAGCACTTGCCAATATTACAGCTTCTGCTATCAATACCAGATACAGCGCAATCTCTCGATTTTCAGCCTTCTTTGGATTCTCATCTGGAAGGAGAAAAGGAAGTAATGGAAATGAGTTTGGAAGAAGAGTAATAGCAATTGGGAATCTTTATACAGAATGGACTCTGTTCAAATGATTTGGCCACCATTTATACAGAATGGACTCTGTTCAAATGAGTTGGTCACTATTCCCAGACTTCTTGTGTTAGACCCCTTCAAAAATTTTCTACTTGCCACCCTTTAACCTAATAATTTTTGCAGTGGAGTCCAGAGTCCAGCCCTACTCACTTCTCACCCACTCCATTGGCTTTGTTCTAAGTTATTCATGCTGATGTACATTTTACTCAACATTTTTACTTTTTTTTGTAAGCATTACTATAAGCTTTATTAAAAGCACTAGAAAAAAAGTCAATGGGCCATCTTGTTCCTTGATCCCTGTCCCCTCAAATTGCCATACTACAGCCTATGTCACCTTTACAATAGTCTCCTCTGAAACATCGGGTGGTCATGCGAAGACAGGTCCAACAGTCAAGGACAGGACCTTCAGTTACAACTGGCAAAGAAAAATATAATCATAAAAGGGATATGGCAAGAGTATTTCTTAGCTCATTATATAGATTAGATCTCAGACATTCCCAGGACTTTTAAGTTACATTTTTGTTCAGTCCTTCCTCTAGTAGTCAAGATTCTTAAAATTTGAAAGATTATAAATATTTGGCTCTTTGTGGATGAAGTGGAGCAATGATTTCATAGCTTATGTTGGAGCAGTAGGTTGGAGAGGCATGAGCACTCCTTCAAACTGTACAGTGTATAAAATCTTATAAAGCTTAACTTTGTCATCAGATATTATTCATATTTCCTCTACAGCTCTAAGAATTGGGTTCAAAGTTAACTAGTGGGAGAGAAGAGCAAACAGAGAAAGGAGATGGGAAAATATGGGCTGAAACCTCAAGGCGTCACATGTACTGTACTCACTGCAATCTTCTGAACAAGCTAAAAGAGAATCAGAAAGATCTAATGAGCTTAAAATCAACTTCACAGGTGTCATATTTATAGGTACATTGTCCCTATTATACATTCATTTCTCACTACAACTGGGTCCACTGTCACCTGAACCCCCGCTTCTCTTCTCATCCCTTCGTTCCTGTTCTCTGACATACACTCAATGTTGTTAGGTAGAAATGTCTTATTACCAACTGCAGCGAAGTTCTTCAGCGTTTCTTTCAGTTGGGATTCCAGGTGTTGGCGAACACTAAGAAACTTGCCTTGGGTGATAAAGACACCTAAAAAGGAAATGGAAAGGATACCAGAAATTAGGGTGATTGTTTCAGAATTTAATTTGCTTTACTCTCCGCAGAAAATTTTCTCAGATCTGTTTACCTGTTGGTACCATACAACTGTTGACAGTGAAACCATTATCTTACCTTTCCATGTTTCATTGCCCAGTTTATAAAGTTCCTCCTTGAGCCATACTCTCAATTTGACAACATTTCGAACATCTATAGAGGAAGGAGAAAGGTTCATGTGTGGTAGGAAATTATCACATCTTTGAAGGATGTGGAGTGGACCCAGGTGTTTTCTTCCATACCCCCCTTCTCCCTTTAGCCGCCCAAATTCTCAGGACTCCAGCTTCCCTCACCCAACAACCGAAGCATCTTATCCTTGTGGGAGACTTTGGAGCTTAAGTGGGTTATCTCCTTATGCTGCCTGTCAAGCAGTTGAGTTCTCCCAGGAACTTCTACAGGTACCAGCTTTCCCAACAATGTCCTAACATCCTCTATGAATTTGGGGTCACACTCCAAACAGCCTTTGACCCCATGAAAGGCTGCCAGGGACAGAGGCAAAAGCAGAAGTACCCATAGGTCACCCATCTCTTTGTCCCAACCCTTCTCCACAACACTGGTTGTCCTGGCAACTGGTTCACTTAGTTCTTTTTTCTTCAGAAATCCAGGAATGAGATCTTTGTCTTGGATGTTCTGAGTATACTTTTCCTTCCTTTTCCATCCAGATTTTAGGGAATCGCATTTCCCTAAGGATATTCAGTAGTTTTTTCACTTTTATCCTTCATTCCAGAGAGAGGAAACTGCTGGCTGGGGAGCAGTTACCTGAGTTCTGAGTGTAGAACACAGAGAAAAAAGCCTTGAGCTCATACAAGCAGAGTTCTGTGCAGGGAGATATCTAGAGAAGGTTTCTTTAGCTCTCTGCTTATATGATGTATCTGTTCTGTCTGATACTGAAGCAGTTTCGAGAAAAGTGGATGTTGGAAGAGATCTCATAAGACCTTAGAGTTTAACCCATATTTAACTTCTAGGAGGTAAGATATGCCAAAAATATTTGAATTGTTTGGGTTCCCTTTCCTTATTGCCAGCAATGTTATTTTAACATAAGTAATGGACAATTATAAACAGTAATACTTGATAGATTTTCTATAATTTGTAACCTATAAGAAATTTTAGAATACACTTGTTTGTGGGATAATTACTTCAGCCATTTTAAAAACATTTTTATGATATTCTTCTCAGCAGATCTGGACCTTGGAGCTACATATAGGAATTGAAGGGTACACAGTGATAAGTGAGAATGCAGTAATGCTTAGGGTCCCTGAGCAGATACAGCCTCAAATACTGATGCTACAATATTTCATATGTAAAAATGTAACCACAATTATCATGGGTTGCTGTCTTGGACAACTTAGATGAAACACAGACAATTAGATATTTTCTTTACATTGTGAGATCTTTGATACAAAAAGTGCTCTGAGTTCTTTGAAGGAATTAAGTCTGCTGTTTCTAAGGTGATTGGTTACATTATTTATTTATTTATTATTTATGTAGTTTTTATATTCCAGAAAGCAGGAAAGGCTGATAATAAAATTTAGAGAGCTAAGATACCATGTAGTCAAGGAGTGGGGATTTGTGAGGGAAGTTAAAAGAACTACTAATTATATTGCTACCATATGTACAAGTACTGTACTAGACTTTCAGATAAATGATCGTAAGCCTTCATAACAGAACATTGCTTTGAGAAGCTGCCATGTCCATTTTATAGACAAGAAACTACAGATCAGAAGTGAAGCCATATAATTTACTGGTTTTGGGTCAGGGTTCAAATTCATGTTCATTTGGCTCCAAATTCTGTATGATCCACGATCTCACAACAGCCACATTTTGAGATAAAACAGAATATAATTGTTTGGAATTTGGCAGTTCAGGAGGTGAAAGCTAGTTCAAATTATTTTAATAAACTTTGGCACGTAAAAGTTTACATCCTTTTAACTAGACAATCTCATCCTTAAGAAATCAAACAAAGAGCTGTCGAGTGTTGAAGTCTGATGTCAAGGCAGCTAATGGAATCCACTGATCTCTAGGAAACAAATTTAGGTACTAGTGTGTTAAGGATATTGGTGGCCTTGAGTTTCAATATGAGAATAACCTGTTGTAGCATATGTGAAAACAATTATAATTATCTTGGAACAGTTCTTAGAGTTTTATAACTATAAAATTTGAACTTTGGGAAAGGGGAGTTGTCTAGAAATTGATAATGAAATAACAAGCACATTGATTAAAATAATAATACTCTTGTCTGTAATGTCAATTCTTAAACCCAAATGTTGGATTGCATATGTTAATATTAGTTTGGATATTGTATGAAAGAAATATGGTTTAGCATCTTTGCAAACTTTTGGACTTGCTAGCTATTTACTCTGTGTTTGCTTGAAGTAGGATAGCAGATACAAACTAATGTACATATCTATATTCTAATAAACATTTATTTATGGTTTTGTGATTCATACACAAAATGGATCTTGGGTGGACATATATATTCATGAGCCTATGCATAGTACTAATTGGAAGCTCGAAAGGAGTGAGATCCTGCCTAGTACCTTAAATATGACCAAGAACTCCTAGTTAGGCAGGTCATACACTATTGTGGATAACCAACTATTGTTATTTAGCTAAACTGACTGATAATCAAACTTCCTTTTAAATATTTGTCCTTTTACTTGAAGGTTAGTGTGCCCACACACCTCCAGCCCTTATCAGAGAAGCTTCCTACTGTAGTGGACAGTGATTATTACAGAAACTCACAACTAGTCAAAGTACAAATACTAAGGAATTGTAGATTTCTCAGCCACAAATGAAGCATTACACCATACCTCCAAGACTGAAGGATCATTAAGAAAGAGGGATTAGCCAGGCGGTGGTGGCACACACCTTTAATCCCAGCACTCAGGAGGCAGAGGTAGGAGGATCTCTGTGAGTTCGAGGCCAGCCTGGTCTATAAAGTGAGTTCCAGGAAAGGCACAAAGCTACACAGAGAAACCCTGTCTCGAACAAAAAAAAAAGAGAGAGATTAGTAAGATTGTAAGAGGCAGAGAAGTTGGGGAGAATTGCTGTGAAATAGTGTTTTCTAGAAATGACAGACCCACAGCAGTTATGACCTAATAGATTGTGGGGCTGCCTGCAGAAGAACTGAACATGATCAAGCCAGTTAACATTAAGCAAGGATGGGGTAGGGCCCACATGACAAGACCCATTAGATGAGAGCTATTAGCAATTTATAGCTGCCAGGCAAGGAAGAGTCTACTACCTTCATAGGTGTTGCCTTTTGTAGAGTGCCCATGCGCCAGTGAATGGCCTGCCCCCACACACATACTGGCAGCTCTAATTATACTCAATGGATTATGAAAAACATATGTAGTTGGGAAAAGATCTACTGGTGTGGGAACTGTTGGAGATGATAAGGGTTAGTAAGACCTAAATACACTGTATGCATATATGAAATCCTCAGAATATAGATACATTTTTAAAAGGGATATGAAGTTGAGAAGGGGTTGTGCTGAGTAAAAATCATCGAGGAAGTTAAGGAGGAGTGTGGGTTAGAGATGCTTAAACACATTTCATAATGTGCAAAAATGCAAAGAAATAAAAAAAAATGTCAACAAATAAAATGAAATGAGGAATCTGAATGGGCCATGGTAAGGGTGTGATGTTTCAGTTAAGAAGAAAGTACGTGTTGGTGAGATGAATCATTACATTTAAATTGTTGTTACGAATTATAACAGGAGGTTAGGAATTTCATCAAGATTGAGGGTCCTATTTATGGTTTGGGCTTACCTGAAATAGGGGTGATCAAAGACAGAAAGAGATTACTTCAAAGACTCTTCATCATGTTAACTATTGTTTACATTTACTTCCAGAATATTATATTTTTGTGTTTTTCTAAATGCACATGTGAGTGTGTGTGTGTGTGTGTGTGTGTGTGTGTGTGTGCGCGCGCGCGCCTGCGTACACATGCACAGGCACATGATTTGGGGAGTATGAAAATTATTGCATTAAATATAGTAAACAGGAATTTTTCAATTTACATATTCCAAAATTAAATCATTCTTAGCTTAAATATATCCACCAACATGAATTCTAGAACCACCATAAATCAGTTTTCTAAATGGTGAAATTTCTAGATAAAAATATGAAATGGTTTTCAATTGCAGCTCTTTGAGAATTTCACGATAAAAAGTACTCTAAAGTAGTCTCTCTCTTCTCCCTTCACAAAAGACCTTGAAAAAGCATGCATTGACCACTTTTCATTTATGCCAAGTTCGGTTCTGTGTCTGAAGGGCATATGCAATAAATTGCTCATACACTATCTCATTTGCAGCTTCAATTTTATGAGCTCCCGTAAAACAATTACCATATATACATTATACAATAAATGGGCAAACAAAGTGGCTGCAAACAATATGGAAAAGTCAATAATTAATTTCAGATTTCTAACTGTAGCAGAGACACTGGATCTTTCCCTTCTATTCAAAAGAGACAGTTCCTTTGTTAGGATTATGCATGCATGTTAATTCACTGCTGTGTGGTTTCTCTTTTTCCAAAGCTTGTCGAAGGTCTAATTTATGTGCAAGACTGGAAGCTGTTTAAACGGATAATATGCCTCCTTCGTGAGAGATACCACCCCTTTATGCTCCATTAAATTCAGCTGTTGACTCTATAAGCTACATACCAATTATTTCTCTCCAGAAACAGCAGCATAGTTTTTCCCCCAACAAAGGACAACAGATTATTGTGGGCTGCTATTAATCTCCACACAGTCTACAAAAAAACTCACAGGACAGTAGGGAGAAAACAATTGAGCTGCCATTTTAACATTTTTGAAATATCATATAAAGCAATAAAAAGAGTATGTTGTCTGATTGCAATACTCCTAATTTGTTTCCTACATCTCCCAAATAGGCACACTCTAAAGTTAATCAAGAGTGGCTTGCTGATGCTGAAGCCCTGCCTGCAGATGAGTGAATCAGGGCTTAACCTGGTCATTCTTGGTTTTCCCATAGCATCATTGTGACTAGTCTCTGAAAACACAACTATGTAAAACAATTGAATGGAAAAGGAAGCAAATGCATGTTGCAATAGGAAATTGAGGTTGGGCTTTGTTACGAGTCAGATAGCTCCCACACCTCCAGCACTGGAGGTTCCACACAGTCAAGGCCTGGGGAAATAGTCTCTTCTAATAGACACTTTGGAAGAAGATGGAAATGGCATTTCCCCCCAATATTCCACTGGAATGTGTTATATATTAATAATAAGCTGTGATTATTTATATACTTATTCTGGTATAAATTCTGGAAGGATGGATTTCCCAAATTGACTTAACCAGTTCATGGCTGACACTTTGTTCTGTGGAAAACTTTCCCCATTTGTTTGAAGATACCAAAATACCTATTCACAAACAAGAGGAGCATTAGTTTAGGAGCAAAATAAAGAGGAGTAACTAAAATAAACATACTTATATAAAAGTGTGCATATGTGTTTGTGTGGGAGAGAGGAAGGGAGGTAGGGAGGTAGAGGGGGGGGCAGGCTAGTGAAGAAACAAAAAAGTACTATTAAGAACACAAAGGATTTATATTAAACCACAGACAGCCCTTAGTATATAGGGGCCTCCAGCACAAAAATTTTATTCCAGTGTCCTTCCTAATGGTGCTCCCCAACATGACCTCTTCTAAACCATACATGCACAATAAATACTTGCTAATCATAAATTGGATTGAAACTCCTGAAATGTTTTGGTTGGAAAATGAGTAAGTAAAACAAAATTAAATAAATAACTAAATTACCTCCTTTTTATTTTTAAATTCTACTCCTTAGGCTTATGGACCAAAATTAATGGTCATAGTTTTCAAACAGTTCCCTTTACTCCAAGTAATTCAGTACTGTTACTTTAAATTCCAGCCTATATTACGATGACTGAAGTGCTAGTATATTCTTCGGTTTGAACTGGCCCATTATCATTAAACTCAATAATGCT